TGTTCTTATGTTTTAATGGGCGGAAATGGATTTGGTTTACCTGTGTCGATATTCTTTTTTTGGGGGGGGGGGGGTGTAGCCATAGTGATTATTTGTATGTGTTCAGGTAAGTATTCAAAAACTTATAATTCTTCGGGTCATTTGAAGATTTGATATTTGGGGGGATAGGTTAGGTAAAGTTAGGTTAAGTTAGCATAGGTTAGGTTAAGTTAGAATAGATTGGGTTGTGGTAGGTTAGGTTCAGTAACAGTTCAATCTGAAAAACAACGTTACGTTATGACTAGTGTTCCAACTTGGCCACCAAACCCTTCGCGTTAGTTATGATGAGGTCCAGCAGTTAAGGTGTTTGTTCCCCTCTGTAGTGTCCCCGCCCTCTTCCAGAGCTACAGTGTGGAGGAGAACATGAGGTTGGTGCTGGCTGGTCAGTACTCCTTCATCACCACCAAGTTCCAGAGTGACTATGTGGTGGCGTCCCGCTATACCGACCGTTTCGGCTACACTCCCATCCACTCCAGCGCCACAATCTACCCCAAGTTTGCCGGCACCTCCTGGGCGGTCAGGTAAGTTTTATTGTCTGGGGTTCAGGTTTAATCGTCTGGGAGTTCACGTTTCAACTTCTTGAGGTCCAGTTGAGTCATCTTTTGGAGGTTCAGTTGAGTCATCTTTAGGAGGTTCATGTTTCATTGGCTGGTGTTCAAGTCTCACTCTACATTCTAAGGGTTTATGTTTCATTTCCTGAAGGTTCAGGTTTCATTACCTGGGGGTTTACCTGAGTTAGGTGTAAATTCACGTTACTACTGTCAGGTCTAGGAGGCACTACAACTGGCGATGTCTCCCCAACAGGAAAGGGGCGCCCTTCCGTCGTAGGATGACCAGCATGACGCAGCGGCTGATAGAGGCGGGGCTCATCACCCACTGGCTGAAGGACGTCATCGCCACCCGCGTCCGTCACCAGAGAACCAACAACATCTCCAGCCCTCACTGGCCCCGCCCCTCCCAGGTGACGTCACTTGATGAACTACTTCGTGTGTGTGTTTTTTTACATTAATTAAGCAGCTATAATGTATAAACGATGAAAGTGGCATACGTATATAATATATAATGACACGGGGGAGAAGGTCATTTCCCTTGCTTATATACTATACCTAATGGTATATAAGGTAGGGAAATGACCCTCTCCCTCATGTTATATATATTATATACGTAGGGAAGGAGGCAAGTGGCCTGTGTAGGATCCCTCCATTTTTCTTGATAATTTTGTCAAGGGCTATTTTGAAGCCCAGTACTGTTCGCGATTTCACATCTTGGGCTGGTAGACTGTTCCATTGGTAGACGACCCTCTGTGTGAAGAAATGTGTTTTCAAATTCGTTCAGCATGATAACTTGGCGAGCCCGGGTTGAGGCGCAGTGATGCATCAATATCTTTACACCCACGAGGTGGGCAGAAGTCAGGGTGAAATAAATTTATATTACTAATTTTTGTGTCAAAATTTCTTTATTTTTTTAATTTTCCAGTTTATATTATTATCCAACAACTGAAGTTAAAAGTATGATATGTTATACAGTACTTCTAGAAATTGATCTTTGACCATATACTTCACCATGTTGCCACCGTGTGGTGTTGTGTCACTGCCTTGTTTACCGCAGGACGATCAGCTGGTGGAGTTGAGTTTGGAGCACCTGAAGGCCGGGTTCATCCTGCTGGTAGTGGGTCACTGCCTGGCCTGCCTCACCCTGCTGGGGGAGCTCCGCCTCGTACGCCGCGTCCCCCACCGCACCCTGTAGCCCTGTCTTCATTCATGTTAGCCGACTTGTCGGTTTATAATCCTGGTGACAGTTAACGTGGCACCAGTCGGGTGTGTGTGTCTGAGTCTCCCGGACGAGTGTTGAGGATAAATTAAATCGGAGATTCGTAGGGAAATGGAAGCTTCGAAGAACAGATTAAAATCGATGAATGGAGGGACACTGCTATGTGTGCACAGTATACAAGTGGTGTTATATAAACAGATATATATCTGTTCAATAAAATCGTCATAAAAGTTTACAATTGGTTCAACATGAATAAAGACAGTGCAGGTATACAGTTCAGCACACATGTAAATAACGCAGGTACACTCGCTACAGAAAATACCGGCAATTTTTTTTGCTAGTCAATATGACACAAACCAATTGCAAGAACAGCTATTGGGTGTACGACGCCATTTACGATGACCTTCTTGCCCTGATCTTTTTTCAGCAATATCGCCTTTAACACATGGAACTCTGCACTTTTCGAAGCTTTGGAGGAATGTCGAAGCAAGTTTCCTGGTGGGAATTATTAGCTAGTGCTGTACTCAAAATATTGAAACTTCGAGATCTCTCCAGAGCTTTGAAAAGGTAGTATTCCTGAAACAAGACCAGGGCAAGAAAGTCATCGGAAATGGTGTCGTACACCCCATGACTGGTGTTCATTTTGAAATTCCTCGGACCCCACCTTACAGATACTTTGTGTGGCCTTACAGTATACAGTATTTTCCATGTACAGTACCTGTGTGTCCACTGTACGTAAAGTAGTAGGAGGGTCTGCTCAGTTACTGTTATAATGTATCAGCAGAACATAGTTTAGCAGACTCTTAAGTGTTGGAAGCTTATTTATAAGTGTTGGTCTAATTCCGGGAAACTTTTCTTAAGTGCTGTAGAGATTCAGCTTCATTCTTTTACCTGTTGTCTAAGTGGGAATCAAATACACTGTAGGACAAGCAAATATAAAATTCTTTATGGGCTCTTTATTACCACAAACACTTGTGGAAACATTGATGGTTTTTGAATGGGATTCAAACACGAGTTGTGAGGTATTACACCCACAGATCTCGGTTCATTACCATCCAAACCTCCACTACACTTAATAAAGTAGGAACATATATCTTCAGGGATTATACTTCAGCACTGTGGCTCACTCGGCCCACTAATAGCTGTGTTTCAGTACTTCCCCCTCTTTTCTTTTAGCAATACACATTATTAAGGGAGTATACCACAAGGGTTACAGTACCATGTCAATTTGTTACATCTATTCTAGTCAGTATTCCACTCCTGCGTGAGGTCTAGGCCGGGGGTTGGTCCTGCATGGTGGTGGTGGTGGTGGTCTTGTGGTGGACGGACTTCCTAGCCTTAGCTAGGATGCTCCTGAGGACGTGGCAGGCGGTGAAGAAGAGTTCCACCAAGGTAATGAAGGAAGCCCCCAGGAACAGCCCCATCTGCCCTTCCAGGTCACCTGCCAGGGGGACACATCTGACTGTTAATTGACAGGTGGTCATCTGACAGAACTTATCACACACACACACACACACACACACACACACACACGGGTATTTTCTTGAACTTCAAGCAGCTTGAGATTTAGTGGACCACAATATACTCACTGAACTGGACTCGAACCTCTGACCACGAGGCGACAAAAGGAGGTTAAATTGAACGTACTGAAGGTTTACAAGTGACTGATCATAACAACTGAATTTGACTAACTTGATGAACCAAACGATACTCACAGAACCACACTGTTACTGAACCAAACGTTACATACTGAACCACACTGTTACTGAACCAAACGTTACACACTGAACCAAACGTTACATACTGAACCAAACGTTACTCACAGAACCACACTGTTACTGAACCAAACGTTACATACTAAACCACACTGTTACTGAACCAAACGATACATACTGAACCAAACGTTACTCACAGAACCACACTGTTACTGAACCAAACATTACATACTGAACCACACTGTTACTGAACCAAACGTTACATACAGAACTAGACGTTACATACAGAACCACACGTTACCTACAGAACCAAACGTTACATACAGAACCACACGTTACATACTGAACCAAATGTTACTTAGAACCAAACGTTACATACAGAACCAAACGTTACATAAAGAACCAAACGTTACATACAGAACCAAACGTTACATACAGAACCACACGTTACATACAGAACCACACGTTACATACAGAACCAAATGTTACTTAGAACCACACGTCACATACAGAACCAAACGCTACTTACTGAACCAAACGTTACATACAGAACCAAACGTTACATACAGAACCAAACGTTACCAAAGAACCAAACGTAGAACCAAAATTACACTTACGTTGAACACGTTACATACAGAACCAAATGTTCCAGAACCACACGTACATACAGAACCAAACGCTACTTACTGAACCAACGTTACATACACAAACGTTACATACAGAACCAAATGTTACTTAGAACCAAACGTTACATACAGAACCAAATGTTTCTTAGAACCAAACGTTACATACAGAACCAAACGTTACTTAGAACCACACGTTACATAGAAAACCAAACGTTACATACAGAACCAAACGTTACATACAGAACCACACGTTACATACAGAACCAAACGTTACATACCGAACCACACTGTTACTTACTGAACCAAGTGAAAATAGAGAGTGGTAGTAACTCTCGACAGGAGCTGCCATGCACAGGCCAACCGGCCTATTGCAGACTCCTTATTTTCTTATGTTCTTATGTTCTTATGTGACCAGGTGAGAAGGTTGGGTCAGCTTAACCTCTGACCTGACTACCGACCACTGCGGTGCTTTTTGAAGATTAGTAGGGTCACTACCTAATACCTGACCATTGTGGACTTGATATCACCCTCCTCTGTATATATATATATATATATATATATATATATATATATATATATATATATATATATATATATATATATATATATATATATATATATATATATATATATACCTTGTTTTGAACTTCTCCTTAGTCGTACACACCCCAGAAGATGTGAATTACACGAAAGCGCTTGGGAACTTGGTGTTTTCTTCTTTAAGAACATAAGAATGGAGGAAACTGCAGCGGGCCTATTGGCCCATACTAGGCAGTCCCGTTTACACCCAACCCCTATTGCTCATATAAGCATCCAAAATATGTTTGAAGCTATTCAGCGGAAATGGATTTGGTTTACCTGTGTCGATATTCTTTTTTTTGGGGGGGGGGTGTAGCCATAGTGATTATTTGTATGTGTTCAGGTAAGTATCAAAAACTTATAATTCTTCGGGTCATTTGAAGATTTGATATTTGGGGGGATAGGTTAGGTAAAGTTAGGTTAAGTTAGCATAGGTTAGGTTAAGTTAGAATAGATTGGGTTGTGGTAGGTTAGGTTCAGTAACAGTTCAATCTGTAAAACAACGTTACGTTATGACTGGTGTTCCAACTTGGCCACCAAACCCTTCGCGTTAGTTATGATGAGGTCCAGCAGTTAAGGTGTTTGTTCCCCTCTGTAGTGTCCCCGCCCTCTTCCAGAGCTACAGTGTGGAGGAGAACATGAGGTTGGTGCTGGCTGGTCAGTACTCCTTCATCACCACCAAGTTCCAGAGTGACTATGTGGTGGCGTCCCGCTATACCGACCGATTCGGCTACACTCCCATCCACTCCAGCGCCACAATCTACCCCAAGTTTGCCGGCACCTCCTGGGCGGTCAGGTAAGTTTTATTGTCTGGGGTTCAGGTTTAATCGTCTGGGAGTTCACGTTTCAACTTCTTGAGGTCCAGTTGAGTCATCTTTTGGAGGTTCAGTTGAGTCATCTTTAGGAGGTTCATGTTTCATTGGCTGGTGTTCAAGTCTCACTCTACATTCTAAGGGTTTATGTTTCATTTCCTGAAGGTTCAGGTTTCATTACCTGGGGATTTACCTGAGTTAGGTGTAAATTCACGTTACTACTGTCAGGTCTAGGAGGCACTACAGCTGGCGATGTCTCCCCAACAGGAAAGGGGCGCCCTTCCGTCGTAGGTTGACCAGCATGACGCAGCGGCTGATAGAGGCGGGGCTCATCACCCACTGGCTGAAGGACGTCATCGCCACCCGCGTCCGTCACCAGAGAACCAACAACATCTCCAGCCCTCACTGGCCCCGCCCCTCCCAGGTGACGTCACTTGCTGAACTACTTCGTGTGTGTGTTTTTTTACATTAATTAAGCAGCTATAATGTATAAACGATGAAAGTGGCATGCGTATAATGACACGGGGAGAAGGTCATTTCCCTTGCTTATATACTATACCTAATGGTATATAAGGTAGGGAAATGACCCTCTCCCTCATGTTATATATATTATATACGTAGGGAAGGAGGCAAGTGGCCTGTGTAGGATCCCTCCATTTTTCTTGATAATTTTGTCAAGGGCTATTTTGAAGCCCTGTACTGTTCGCGATTTCACATCTTGGGCTGGTAGACTGTTCCATTGGTAGACGACCCTCTGTGTGAAGAAATGTGTTTTTAAATTCGTTCAGCATGATAACTTGGCGAGCCCGGGTTGAGGCGCAGTGATGCATCAATATCTTTACACCCACGAGGTGGGCAGAAGTCAGGGTGAAATAAATTTATATTACTAATTTTTGTGTCAAAATTTCTTTATTTTTTTAATTTTCCAGTTTATATTATTATCCAACAACTGAAGTTAAAAGTATGATATGTTATACAGTACTTCTAGAAATTGATCTTTGACCATATACTTCACCATGTTGCCACCGTGTGGTGTTGTGTCACTGCCTTGTTTACCGCAGGACGATCAGCTGGTGGAGTTGAGTTTGGAGCACCTGAAGGGCGGGTTCATCCTGCTGGTAGTGGGTCACTGCCTGGCCTGCCTCACCCTGCTGGGGGAGCTCCGCCTCGTACGCCGCGTCCCCCACCGCACCCTGTAGCCCTGTCTTCATTCATGTTAGCCGACTGGTCGGTTTACAATCCTGGTGACAGTTAACGTGGCACCAGTCGGGTGTATGTGTCTGAGTCTCCCGGACGAGTGTTGAGGATAAAATAAATCGGAGATTCGTAGGGAAATGGAAGCTTCGAAGAACAGATTAAAATCGATGAATGGAGGGACACTGCTATGTGTGCACAGTATACAAGTGGTGTTATATAAACAGATATATATCTGTTCAATAAAATCGTCATAAAAGTTTACAATTGGTTCAACATGAATAAAGACAGTGCAGGTATACAGTTCAGCACACATGTAAATAACGCAGGTACACTCGCTACAGAAAATACCGGCAATTTTTTTTGCTAGTCAATATGACACAAACCAATTGCAAGAACAGTTATTGGGTGTACGACGCCATTTACGATGACCTTCTTGCCCTGATCTTTTTCAACAATATCG